ACCATGGTCAGTACGCGCTAGTTAGTCAAAAGCTAGCCAACACTCTTTAAGCAAGCCTCAACTATACATCTAGGTACCTTGGTCGTACCTCTGTTCGCGTCTCTCTGTTATGTTGTTAATGAAGAACCTTTGTAAAGAAAAAGAAACATTGAAATTCAAATCTCATTTGCCTGCCTCGAGAGTTAAAAAATTCTTATGACATCTATAAGTACCGAGGAATTGTTACGATTGTCGCTGCCAGTAGTGTGGCCCCAATCTATAGGACTGTCGCTGCCAATTGTGTGGCCCCATCCCGATAGGTAGCAATTCCTTTGGTTTATTAAATAATAATTTCCCTCGATGCCTAAAGAAGACGAGTTTCGACAGCAGGAAAAGAGATTTAAATTTCAGATAACAAAGGCCCTTGATTCTTACCAAGATCCCTTTCCCCTCCGCTAAAAATTATCGAAATTGTTAGTACCGGCAGCGCAACATATCCCTTCTACACATTCTTATCCTCCCTCCCTCCAATACTCCATAAATTTTCACACAATTAACCTCCGTCCCAGGGTAAATTGCTGAAATGCATTGATCCAAAAAGGAGAATTTTAAGACGATTATAAATCGTAACAAGAACAAATCGAATTTTAATTACTTCTGTGATTTGGAAGCAGTAGGCAGGATCTTACTTATTTTAGTGATGGAACAAAAATTTTTGTTGGTAAATAAATGCATTTAATTTCAATATATTTATACATTTCGTATATATGCATATGCGCATGTATGCATACGTATTTGTGTAAACACGAAATTTTAATTTATACAAAATCAGACTTATGATATAAAAAGAGTATTGCTTCGTGAAAGGAATGATATAATGTAGCTGCATAATGAGTAGTAGAGTTTTTACGAGTTCATTCATTTTATGCATCAGTCGATTAGAAACGGGCTGTCGCAAGCACCTAGCCCGGACGCTACTCCGCCTTCATTATCAGTGGACAGCTTTGTTCTCAACATGTGACCAGCTTGTTTGTTCACCATAATATTCTTATCGTCTCCAATAATAACGCCGAATATGCCTAACTCCGAGACTAGCTCTTTCGTCTCTAAATTCTTATTTCCGTTTCCATATTTCACAATGTAATTTCTGTGCACCGGTGGATAAATCCGATCCATAAGAATCCAGGCTACTCGCGTCTCTTTAGACTTCACGGACTCGAGAAAATCTTTGATGTCCGTCCCGTACAAGTTATTACAACCGCCTTCTCTCTGTGGCTTTAACACGAAACGCTGAGGCTCCGAGATACCCATTTCTACAGCGGCATTTCCATACTCGTCAAAGTTGAGTGGATAAAGACCTGAAATAAAATATCGTTCGATTTATAATCTAAAATTTGTCCTATAATGCATTTACATAATAATTATTACATTAATATTATAGCAAACATATTTCATATAATTTCTTCATATATATGTGTATAAGGAAACAAACAGACTCCTACCAGTGAATACTTCTTTGACTTTCGCCACCGTCTTCTCATCCTTTAAGAAACGTGCGACCATGCCGGGCTTCGCGAGAGTTTGTTGAACTTTCTTTGTGCCGGCTAAGTGATATTGAATGCTCGGACATTTGATTGCCAATGACCTCTCGATCAGCAACCTCGCGTCCCACTCTTTTTGGCTGTGATACTGGCCAGGCTCGTAGCCGCATCTATAGTAAACCACTGCCACGACGTAATTGTCCACTACTAGCTCCATATTGGAGCCCAGTCTCGTGGTGGCCGCCAATTGCGTCAGATTTCTCCGAACTACTTTTACATTCGGATTCTGCCTTCGTATTTCGTACTCGTGAAAACGCTGGTCGCAAATATTGTACGTAACATCTTCGATAACAAACAAAATAACTGCTCTGCAAACAACCACATGTCTTTAAATAGCAGAAAATTGAAAGAATACTATTCAATCAATATCAATAATTGTTATAAAGTAACACAATAATTGATACACAAAATTGAATAATGATAAATTACTAAGATTAAAAACAAATTTGCGGAAATTACGAACGTACTGCGAGTCGCCGTACAGATTCCACGCTTCTATCAAACCCGAACACAGTGCTTGTAGAGCGTTATTTTCCGGAAGATTTTTCAGCTCGGCCGCGTAGCCGAGTTCCTGCAGGACGAACTTATGTAGCTGCGTAGACGCGGGTCCTAGCCAGCCGAATCCAGAGGCAATTGTATTTATCTCGACTTGCTTCCAGCAGCAGTGAGACTTGAGCGCCCTTGTGTCTTTCCTGGGACAACTCGTGTCCAGCATGAGATCCGAGCGCAACATGCCGAGGGACACTTTCTGAGCGGCCCCCTCCTTGTGAACGACGTCATAGATATCGAACAGCTTTCGCGTAAAGTCGTCCACCTTTACGGTCTCTTGCAAGGTGTCCTTTAAAAAGTCATAATCGTGAGCCACCCTGTGTACGAGCGTGTTCAAAATTATCTGGATATCGCAGGCGTTGTGGAACTCCTCTCGCGGGAACGGCGACGGGAGAAGCGCGAACGGTGCGAACTGCAGGACGTCTCGGTCAAAATTATTTTTCGACCTCAAGCATATCCCGTTCATAAGCGCCCAATCCTTTGCTTTGTCCACCAGTTCCTCCAGTTCTTCTCTCGGCAAGTCCAGCGGGATAGGCAGTTTCATTGTCGCTTGCTCGTCTCCCTTTGTCCTTTCAACTTGTGCCTTAACTTTCTGACTTCTGTGCGATGCACTGTTGCTATTTTCCTTCGCTTCTCCAATTAAAATATCAGAATTTCTCTTTGGTATCTCTTTGTGAGATGTGCAAATACAGATACCAAACTTATCTTATCACTTAGCAAACTCAGGATTTATTCGGCCTGCAATTACACACCAGGGCGAGTCATTCTTCGGGGGGAAAAATGTCTGAGGATTCGTAATAAAAATTATAACGTTCACTTCACCGTGTTGCTCCTAACTTAACATATTACTTGGCGAAGCAACTAACTTCGTTCAGTTATCGATATCTGAAATACCTCGGATACGTTAGATAAACGTACACAGGTGGACTCACACGAAATTCCCGCGCGAGCACGTTATCAGAAACTACCAGGCTGCAATCTCAAGCGACCGAGCAGCAACTAACGCGTCCAATTAACCGTCTGCTCTTTATATGCACGAGCATGGGCTCGAGTCAATCGAACAAGACGATAAACGTGAACAGGCGACGTACTCGGTGCCGCGCAAACACGCTCGCTCGCTACAAGATCTCGCAGAATCGCCCACGTCATTTATCTTATTTGAGAAAAAAAGAACTTGAAACTTTATCAGAGTGCACTTACGATTAGCCGACGTGGATATTTTGCTGGGAACGTACAACTGCTGGTCCAAGAGGCCGTAAGCCAAAGCTTCCAAGTTGTACTCCTCGGCGGTGGTCAGGGCTTTCACGGTCCATCCCTAGCAAAGAAATTTCTCTCACACAAACGAATCCTCTCGCTGCAGGATCGCGCGGGGGGGCAAAGCGCGCTCAAACTTACGTCAGACTGTGAAATCCTGTCGCTTATCACGGACCTGCTTCTCCTGGACGGTCGCTTCTTTAGCTGAAACGCGGATATATCGTCCGCGACGCCGCATCCGTTCTCCCGCGGGTTGACTCTCTCCGAGCGGATCGCGGAGTCGTGAAGAGGTCGCCTGGGCACTGCGCGAGGGAACGTCGTCCACGTCGCCGCCGTCCGTCCAAGCAGGGCGCTCAGACACGGCGCGACCGTGCGGTCAATGTCAATTCTAACACCTCGGCAGCCCGATATCACGAGCCTCTGAATCATTGCGAGACTCATTTTATCAGGTTTCTACGGTTAAGCGTATATACATTCACCCTAACTTGGCGCGTACAGACAATACGTATTTGTGCAAATACCTCTCGGGTCTTAATCGTTAGAGCGAAACTGGAAGGAAGCTCGCGCTTCACAGTTATAACGCGCGCTCGGGTATCATTGTCCTGCAGCACCACTCACTGTTAATGCGTAGATAACGCTTTTCGAGCCGATACTACTCTCGGTCATGCCGTTTGCATCATACACGCCGCACGCTCCGCCGTGGAAGAACTCGAGGTTATGTCGCGGCTGAACGTAGGTTACGGCCGACCTTCCGGCCGCGTCCGGCGGAAAGAGCCGCGCGCGAGATCTCGCTTGGCTCCTGTGCGTCCACGCGTCGTCTTGTCTCCGATTTACTGAAACAGGGATACAATGAGCTCCAAGTGCGTCTCGAGCGCAACACGGAACGGTAGTGGATTATTTAATATTCATTTTGTACCGCAAAACTAACTTTGTATCCCGTTTCGGAGATACGTGCGTCCTTTGGTCCCAGTCTACAATAGAGATTCAAACCTTAAGCCTTAAGAAACTGACTAATCACAGTCGCGTATTCCACTCGTACTTGACCGCGATTGGCCAAGTACCGTTGAAAGTTTTTTAAATATATATTTTTTTTTAAAGAAAAGTATAACTTGCAACGCAAAACTGTGTTAGATTCTTTACGGAGCGTCGTAAAGCAATTTCATAATTTATTTGAGAAGAATCTCTTGAGAGGAAACGATAAAAGTTTTTTAATACATGCAAATAAGTGAAATAAAGTTTAATAAACCTTTTTTTGCAGTCAAGTAATGAATGTTACATTTGCTATCATGAGTTTTTGTCGTAACGCCACGTTATTACTTGGTGGAATTAACTCGTAATCAATGCCTACAACCGGACGAAGTTGCACAATCAATAGTGGACAAACATGATGCACCCGTGCATCCTCGATGTATGATGCAAGTTTCATAAGAGGAGTCAGCGTTTTCACGTACATTAGGTATTATGACAAATATCATAAGTTGCCGTATTAATTAAGGGCAAGAAATATATTATAATCTTATCAAATGCTATTTAATATCAGTCACTTTTCAGCGAATATCTTAATAACAGTAAATTCCACAAAAAGATTCGATACAATATTTCAATTGATATCACATAGAATGTATATATTTTTTATATTTAATTAAAATTGATCCATTCTCGAGGCTCTGTTACAATTGGTGGAGATGTGACATTCTTAAGAGTTAACTGTACTTTTTCATTGAACACAAGTTGTCCGTTTGGATGCCACTCGTCAGCAGGTAGTATCACATCCATTGTAGTGGAGATGTTTAATCCGTCATTGTAGGTTTCCACTAGCCATTTGTAGTCGTCCTATAAAATTTATCATAGAGAACGTTAAGTCCGAGCGGAGCTGTTGGAATGACTAATTAAATATAACAATATATTAATTTTGCCAATAAAAAAATTATCCGACTTTCGAAATTTGGTAAACATTTATATTTTACGACTCTGCCGTTTGGCTGTATACATTGTGCTTTTGCATAAATACATAATTATGTATGTTTCTTGATTCTAGCCGTCCATGCGCAGTGAAAAAATTTATGACCAATGATGACAAATCGTTGAAGTGATTTGGAAATTAATTACAAAGAATTACTAGAACCGACGTGCAATAATTAATGTTTTCTTTGTTAATAAGACTAAAAGAAGAATGATAATAATGTAAAACATAAAAGGGTACACGTAAGATACATACCAGTACCATATTGTTCAAAAAGTTCTTAAATCCTGTCGAATGTATGCATTGCTGTCTAGCCTTCTCAAGACGTATACGTGCATTTGTTGCATTAACTAACAATAAGGGCAATGTCGTTGCCGGTATAATTCGGAACTTGGTAGCCTTTTTTTTGTCTTCTTGCTTCACATTGCCATTGTATTTGACTCTGCATTCGCCTAGTGGTGTGGGTTCCCATATATCTAAACTGAATGAGACATTCTTACCGGACGCGCCAGACGTGTGTGCATTTTCCATTTTATTTATATTATCTCCATTTATTAAGTTGAACTGATTAACAATACTGAGAATAATATGTCTGGCCAGTGGGTATTCAACTTCATCAGCCTTAACCACCTGTTGACTCCTCATTATCTTCTCTATACGGTTTTCATTGAAATACATAACAAACCACTGTTTGATGTTAAGGTGACGTTTTGAGACCTCGTCTATAACTGTTTTTGTGCCGTTCACGTTATGATACTTAACGATCGAAGAGATGGTAATGTTTCGTAAGACACAATACATTCTCGTTGGTTCAGACAGACATGTTAATTTAGCAGTTGTTTCTGTAACTTGAACAGGCTCTCTGTGCACTACGATAGTTTTGTTGTAATCGAAGTTATATTCCGCTTTGAAATCATTGCTGAATTTGTATGGCAACATTGTGATCGCTAAATAAACCAAAAGAGTTTAGGTGGATATATATTAGAATATTGTTTTATACATTTATTGTTATAAAGATTCGTCTTTGCGGTCAATGGTTCAAAGTTTGCTACTATATCTTATATACTTTTAGATCATCTTCTAATAATTAGAAAAAATTAAAGTTTTGTCAGCTAATATTAGCTAATTGTGTGCGTGTGTACAGTCTCATATGTGTAGAAATTATCCCTAGTTAAAATATGCGCAGGTTTAAAAAAAAAGATATGTTTATGACGCGAGTGGATGGCAAAAATTTCGAGAAAATTCAGAAATCAATGCAGTATGTGGACTTGATAATTTCTTTTTAACCC